CCCCAAAACCCCAAAACCCCAAAACCCCACAACAAAGAATAAATAATTCTTAAGTCTTGATGTTAGATTTATGTTTATCATTAATCAAATATCAATTATTAGGATTTATGAAATTGGATTAAGATATCAGAGCTCAGGTGTCTTTTTCATAAACTTGAACTAATCTCCAACAATCTTCATTATTGCAAGACATTCTTCATCTTTCCATTTTGGTGTAGAAATTTGAACACCAATAGGCATTCCAAAGCTATCACGCATTGAATTTTTGATATGTCTTGTGATTAAATCATTAGCTTTATCATAAATAGCAGTATCTACATCTTCTCCGTTTTAGACCTCTGTAATAGGAACAATTCCTGATGGAAAATTGAGAACGTTTTATAGAGCAAGGAAAGGAACTAAAAATGCAAGCTCGTTTGCATCAGCATGCTTAAAGGCACAAGATGGAAAAGCTGGTGAGATTAGACCATCAAGTTTCATATCGTCCCATCTTTGCATGAAATTTTCTACAAATCTAGCTCTTCTTCTTAGTATATTATCAATATCATCACTTGAATATTTTCTTACTTGTCCCATTGTAGCAGATTTCCTTTTACTAATGCAAGTTGAAAAAATAGCCACAACTATCTTTTATAAGAATCTGGGTAAAGTGTAAAATAAGAAAGATTCTTGATAAATTGTGATAAATTTATCATGCTTTGATTCCATCATATCGCAAAACTATCCTAGTACTCCAATTGAGCAAGAGGCAACAAATATCTCAATGTATTCAAAAGCTTCATTATGATGAAAATTGAATGGAACCACTTCATGACCCAAGGCTTCAAGCTTCTCTCTAGTCTATAATATTTTAGTACTAATTGAAATTTACCATTTTGAGCGCCCTTCTTACTGCATCTGATGCTCCCATAAAATCTGTCTCCTCAAAATAACCAAACCTTAGCTTTCTCTTATTTAAAGTTTATTGATATCTTTGTTCGTTAAATGGTAAAGGAGCAGTGTCTAAATCTCTATCAAACATTGTTTAGTTCATTAGTGATTTAGTTGCAATCAGCAAATCATTAGAAGTGTATCCAAGCGGACCAGCAACTGGAAGAATTGGACCCTACGGGCCAGTTCCATCTTCTAATGGAATAATACATCCCTTATAGGATACTCTATTAGCAGTAGGTTTAAATCCATAAACTCCATTGAAACAAGCTGGACCTCTGATTGATCCTCCAATATCAGTACCAAGGGCAAGAGGGACACATCTTGAAGCAACTAACCCTGCATCTCCACCAGAGCTACCTCCACATGATCTAGTAGCATCATGAGGATTAAGAGCTCTTCCATAAATATCATTTTCTGTCTGCAGTGCAAAAACTAGCTAGGGAACATTACCTTTAACCATTGGTATCGCGCCTTAATCCTTCCATTGTTAAACAACTACAGCATCAGATTTGGCTATGTTATCACAAAAACTCATGACTCCCACTGTCACATGTCTTCCTTACTCATTTACATGGTCCTTTATTGATACTGGTATTCCATGAAGTAAACCGAGTTCATTAGCTCTGCCATTTCTGACTGCTAATTCTCTTTCCCTGTCTTTGTCTTAAGCAGTTAATAGAGCTTCGTCATAGTATTCTTCAGTGACAAGATTCAATTTTCTTCCGATTCTATGACATCTCTTAGCGAATACAGTTACTATTTCATAGCTTGTCACTCTTCCATCAATTTGAAGCTATCTCAACTATGCAACATCTGACTATAGTATAAGATTTGATTTATCCTCAGGAATATCTTTGAAATTGAATTTCTTAGCGTTTCTTTGATCAAGTCTAAACTTCGCCTTCTTTTTAACAGAAAGATGCATAGTCTCTCTGTATAGGAACATTAAGATTTTGTAACCTAAAAAGGCTAATAGAATCCATAAGATATTATTTTCCAGAAATTCAATTATGTTTGTGATACCTGAAGCAATCCACTCTTCTCTAGATTATACCATTATACTAATTGATTTTGAAATTTTTGAATCTTTTATTCAAAAATAAATGTGTTTTTTCCCCTTGGGGTTTTGGGGTTTTGGGGTTTTGGGGTTTTGGGG